TGTGTTAAATTTGGTGAAGATCGGTTCAGATATAGCTATAGCTCTCATATATATTGTTCATCCGATTTTTTATATTTGTTACCCACAGCCGTAATATGCCTTCCGTAACAACGATATTCAGGGAAATATATGAAATACAGCTCAGAAATATCTTTGCCAAATATTATCAACATCGGTTCAGATTTGGATATAACTCCCATATATATCAAATGGGCAATACAAGTCCGAATTTAAAAGATACAAATGCTTCGGCATATTTAGTCTTTTGAAATTTAAATTATATTTATAATCATAGCGTGTATGATTGAATTCTCCAATAAAAACGTTTAATTGTTATGTGAAGCTCTACTAAATTAGCAAAGCCACTCCCGACTTTAAGACTTTCTTTACTGGTTTAATTTACAATATGATATTTCTTTTTAAATACTACTCACACACATACTTGAACACCTACCAATCTCCATATGTGTGTGCGTTTGTGTTCTCTACTTCATTGATTTTATTCTATGCCATCCATTCGGAGACATTTTACAAGACAATTTGCTTTTAATTTATTTAATAAATTAATTCAATTGTGGACACAAATGTATCCAGCCACTCAAAGTTGAAATGGATGCCAAAAATGTTTCCATTGTTGGCATAAACAAATAAAATGGATCCATTTAAAACTTTGTCACCAAACTTTGTTCCAAAAACGAAAGAGAGAGAGGGAGGAATAGTTTATATTGATTGTAGTGAATTTCGGAATTGTGTGTGTGTGGACTGATTTTATGTGAGTCAATGTGTATGTGTAGCATTTCCATTTGTCCATGTCCATTTGACACTAATGTCTCCTGACATTCAAAACTGCCAACATGGTAAGCTCCATTGACTTTTGGTTGGTTCAGATGAATGCAGACAAACGCTCTCTTTCTCTCTCTCACACACACACACACACTCGAACACACAATGGGTTTTGAAGCCACAAAATGCAGGTTGATCTTTTATGTATTGCGTGTATCCGTGCATGTGTTTGTGTGCATAGCTCACCTATGGACCACACCACAGTCAGACAACGAAGGTGAAATAACTGTCACCAGCAGAAACAACTGCAAAAAGGGATGGGAAAGGGAGGAAATAAAATAGAAGCGTAAACGTTTAGTTCTGGTTGACCGAAAACAATCCCCCCAAAACAACAAACAACTTTTAACAATAAACCATTAAACTTCGTTACTGTTACACGCAGAACTTGAGAGAATTTTAATGAGGTATTTTCGAGGAAAAAAATTTAAAACTTGTGCAATGATAACAGTGATAATACCCGTGGCGTTACCACACGTCCATAATAATCTATTTATCGCTTTATGGAGGGAATTGTAAGTACTTAAAAATATGGAATTAAAAGTAAACACTCAGGTTTTATTACAAAAAGTTTCTGAAGTCACTTGGCTTGTAAAATTTCCCTTAGACTTCCTATTCGGTAGAAAAGTATAAAATTTCGAAAAATCAGGTTCTCCGAATAATGGATTTTTTGTAAAACAAGTTAACTCAGTCAATTTTGTCAACAGATTTATGTACATCCCCAGCCTTGAGTTATGATTATTCTAACTGTTAACTCATTTAAGGGGGGAGGTTCGGTAGCAGTTTACCAATATTGTCCAATTCGTATCTGACCTAAGACTGATATAAATATTGCAACGTGTCATATTTTGACTATATCGTCTACATCCTATACTTTATATGAGGTATGTGTGAATTTTTGGAAAATATGTGTGAGGTGCCAGATGTAGCGGAAGTACTTCTCTTTATCTAATACCGATAAAAAATATTTGTATGTGCAAAATTTAGAGGAAACCGAACATTTATGTTTATATGAAATCATAAATTCCGATAAATTACATATAGATATCAGAATTCTGGTTAAGAGAAATATTTGGATAAAGCAAGTTGTATAGAATCGCTGACTTCTTTCGCAAGTTATGATAGATATAAGTATAAAAAATGGTAACACTTTGTTGGTGAGGTACCAGAAGGCGTTAGCAAAGATGTTAGGATTTGTGAAATTGGAAGAGAATTGGATGATATTTCGAGTTTTATGTGCGTTTTGTTTTTCAAAATTGTAACTCCTTGTTGGGGAAGTACCAGAAGGAGTTCGCCGATATATCCCATTTTCACAGCAGATCTTGTGTTAGTAAAAATAATGCCATGTGTGAAATTTGCAGAGAACTGCATGTTTATTTCGGATTTTATAATAGTTATTAAAAATTTTGAACCTTTGTGGGGGAGGTACCAGAAGAAATAATTCTATCTCTACCATCATTATAACAGCTATTTTGTTGATGGAAATATTGATATGTACCAAGTCTGAATGGAATCGGATGTTAATTTCGCTTTTTATGAAATTCATTGATTTAAAAAAAAATGTTGATCCTTTGTGTGGAAGGTACCAGACGGAGTGGACCGATAAATTCCATCTTCACAGCACTCGTTGTGTTAGTAGAAATTATGAAATGCGTGAAATATGAAGAGAACCGGTTGCTTATATCAGATTTTATAATCGTTTCGGTTACTCAAAAGCCAGTACATCGAATTTGGGGAAAATCGGTTCAGATATAGCTATAGCTTCCATATATATGTTTCATCCGACTTGGTGTTTAAGTCCCTTACATTCGTAATATGTATTCCACAAGAATGATATTTGGTACCAGTAGTGGGATTCTCTAAGTCATTATTTGAGTTACCGACAATAATCGGTAACTTTAAAATCAAAATTTTTGATATGAAAAAGAAGTTAAAGTTCACAACATTGGTATCTATCGGTAGGTCTTAACGACTACTTTGATCTCGTCGCTATCTTCCCGAAAAATTTCGTTAATTACCTAAGTTATATGCATTTTAAGTTCACCGAGTTTGTCGGTAACTCAAAAAATGAGTTAGAGAATTCCACTACATACATCAGATACAGCCCACAAATACTTCTGTCAAGATCGGATCAAATGTGGATATAGCTCCTATATATATCATTGTCAGATATCAGGTTTATTGTACACCAAATTGCTAATATCAGAAGCAAGTACAATTTTTTGTGAAAATTGGTTCAGATATGTTTCATTTTAGGGTTTCTGGTCCCTCACATGCGCAATATGCACTTCACAACAATAATATTTGATACCGGACATCAGATATAACTTGCAAATGTCTCTGCCAAATTTTATCGAGATCAGTTCAGATTTTATGTACCTTCGATATACATCTTCATCTGATTTTATGGTTATTGTCCATCATACATGTAATTTCAACCCAAGTTGGATAGATTTTGTCATATTTCACCAAAGGAAATAATTTGGTGAAATTCGGTCCGGTATTTCTATTGCTCCAATAAATATGTTTATACTCTACACCACATAGTGGTAAGGGTATTATGTCTTTGTGCATTTGTTTGTAACATGGAGAAGAAAACGAGATAGACCCATAGTTCCTTTTGGTGATCAGCATAGAATCACATTTTGAGTCGATTTATGCATGTCCGTCCGACTGTCCGTTCGTTCGTCCGTCTGTCTGTCCATTTTTTTTTTTTTTTTGTACACAAAATGCAGGTTGCATTTAACATTCGATTGAGATAAAATTTTGCACAAGTCTAGTTTATTGTGCACCAAACGTGTAATATCAGCCCGAATAGTATGGAATTTTGCACATACACATTAGGCCTGAAAATAAGTATGCCAAATTTGATCGAAATCGGTTCAGATATAGCTATAGCTCCCATATATATTGTTCATCCGATTTGTTATTTTTGTCCTCCGCAGCCATAATATGCACTCTGTAACAACAATATTTGGGGAAATATATCAAATGCAGCTCAGAAATACCTTTGCTAAATGTTATCGAGATCGGTTCAGATTTGGAAATAGCTCCTATATATGTAACTATATAGCTCATATATATATATATATATATATATATATATATATATATATATATATATATATATATATATATATATATATATATATATATATATATATATATATATATATATATATATATATATATATATATATATATTGTTCATCCGATTTGTTGTATTTGTTACCCACAGCCGTAATATGCACTCCGTAACAAAGATATTCAAATACAGCTCAGAAATATATTTGCCAAATTTTATCGAGATCGGTTGAGATTTGGATATAGCTCCCATATATATTTTTATCTGATTTCAAATTAATTTTGCACCAAATAGGCAATAAAAGTCCGAATTTAAAAGATACTAATGCTTCGGCATATTTAGTCTTTTAAATTATAATTATAATCATAGTGTGTATGATTGAATTCTCACACAAAAAACTTTTAATTGTAATGCGGAGCTCGACTTAATTAGCAAAGTGGTGCAGGGTATCATTAAGTCGGCCCCGCCCGACCTTGGGACTTTATTTACTGGTTTTAATTTGTAATCTATATTTTACATTAACAGTTAATGTTAGGTATATTTAATATAACCCCGGTGAGTCAAGATTTCCAATATTTCTTCGGGACGTGGCCTAACATTTTTGGAGATGAACGATATTTAGGGCATGAAATGGCTCAAGGTAGCACCGGTTGGTACTTAACACCGACGTAGGTTTTAAAAATATTGGGATGTGCCAAGTCTGAATGGAATCGAGTGTTAATTTCGTGTGTTGTGAGCTTCAAACATATTCAAAATTTTGACCCTTTATGGGGGAGGTACCAGAAGGAGTGGGCCGATATATCCTATCTTAACACCAGACCGTGGGTTAATAAAAATATTGTAAAGTGTGTGATTTGTTGATAAACGGACTCTTACATCGTACTTTACAAGAGTTATAATTATTCAAAACGTTGACTCGTTGTGGAGGAAGTACTTGATGGAGTGGGCCGAGATTGTCTATTGTCTCAAAAAATCAATATAAATCGCAATTACAATATGAACACTTTACAACGAAAATGCCCGATTTTAGGCATTTTAAATGTTGTGAATTATTTAAAGTCTTAAAAATCTTAATATGTCTTCGATGAAGCCACCTGATGACTACAAAGGCCGCCCACATGCCAGTGATATCAGATGTCATGACAAATTCGCATGTCGTCTATAAATAGCATGAACCGCACAACGCAATTAATTAGCTTTAAATTACCAAATTAAGGATTTACAACAACAGCAACAAACAAATAACAACAATAATAATAAAGCTATATAATTTGACAAACAATAAAAGGCACACACACACACATATATACACTCACCATGTTCGCTTTGTTACTAAAAATAAATGCCATTTAAATAGCTTCACAAGTACGTAACCAATTTGGCCATAAGGATGCCATTCAAAATAAATAGGCCAGAGAATGGAGCCTAACAACCGTACCATGGCATTTTTGTATACAGCATTAATTGGTCCAAAAACCCTAATAATGGCATAGTCACACAAACACAATGACATGGCTACATATACACATACCAAAGGAAAGGCCACAATAATTTTTTCCAGGGCTAAAGCAACGCATAACACTACAAAAAGCACAAACACTACTACACGGTACACCAACTGCTCTCTCTCTCTCTGTCGCTCTCTCGCTTCCTAATCAATGTGTAATGCGATTTAATAAAATACCATAATTTGATTTTATTACAGCCACAAAATTCACAACAGCATCAAGAGCAGTCATAACAATAGCAATAAAAACAAAACAGCAACAAGCATCCAACTAACTAACCAAACAACCTAACAGCCTAGACGACCAACCTTTCGAACCTACCAAACCAACTAGCGAACAGTAACCAAGCGTATCCTCAAAACACCAGCAAATATCCCACAAAATTTCCAAAGCAAGCAACAAGTGAATAGAACCATTTCACACACGCATACGCATACGCATACAACTATATCCACTAATACTATTACAGCTAAAACAACTACGACTACTACTAAAACGTCAATTAAAATTTAACAAAACAAATTTTGTAGCCTCCAACCAATGAGACCATAATACGACCGCATGTAATTAACATAGGCATTCTTGTTAACCCAAAAAAAAAACTACCAACAACAACAACCAGCCATTGAATTTCTCGCAACACAACTCCCGAGCCCATGTGTGTGCCTTTGACTTTTGATCACCGCACTCAACTTATTTAATATTATCCTCTGAAGGCTCAGAAATAATACAACCAAATCCTGTTAATAAAATTACACACAGACACGCATACAGGCACACATGCTCGCACGCTGCCGCACACAACGACCCACAAGGCCAGTAATTAATTCATTCAGCGACCACAAAGAGCAGGCCACAGCTACAAGGACACCAAGGATATAGACCACAATAACTTATCGCAAATATTATTTGTTCAACCAACGAAGGCTGGTCTCGGATCTCGAGTGCATTGTGAGGTGTAGCATTTCCACTCCCACACTCACCACCAATTGCAGAAAAAAAACACCCACCACCCATTTAACCCGCCCACTGGAGTAAGTGAAATTCGGCAAAATAGCGCTACATTGGAAAAAATTAAAAGAGCACATCTTGCAAACACGGACCCATAAACCACATGAACAGGTCGAGGAGGCATCATCGTCCACATATCAGGCTTTTGGTGGCGACATCCAGCCGGAGCCACTATCGAATAATAATCATGAAGCTATAGATAGGTTGCAATACCAGCAGGGACAAGTAGTGTCGCACCATCATCCCCATCATCCCCAGTATCAGTTTCAACAGCAGCTGCAACAGCAACAACAGCAGCAGCATCACCATACCTCTCCTTTGGCCAAAGCAAATCTAGGACAGCAACAAAATCCCGCTGCTCCGGCTGGAGGCCATTCCTCAGCCCATAAAATTGTTTCACCAAATTCGACAACAACAAAATCAGCAGCCACGGCGACCACAGCGGCTCGACGTTACTCACGGTTTGAATGCACAGATGAGCTGGAACGACGTGTGAGCAGTGGCAGTACAGGCGGCGGAGCGACAAGTGTAAGCGGCAGCATTGGCAATATCTTTGGACGATCAGGTGAATATCAAAGTGCTGTGAGTGGCAGTGGTGGTGATGTAGGCCAACAGCACCAGCAGCAACAACAACAACAATACGGCACAGGGCGTTCTTATGCTGAGGCCAGATTTAAACGAGGCAGTGTTTACGGCGATACATCGAATAAATATTCAACGATTGGTGGCAGTAGTAGTAGTGGTATTAGTGGCAGCTATGCCAGTGGTCTGGATGGCAGTCAGAGAGGTAAGTGATGAGTTAGAATCAAAGGATAAAACTTAGACAACTGAGTATCATTAGCTGAATGAAATACTCTTCAAGAAATAATTTCCAGGAGATGTACGATGGTTCAACTTGTATGAGAAGGTGTAAAAAAATATGTTTTTCATCCGATCGATTTGAGTTTTTGAGTCTCCATGTTTTGACACAAGTCCAATATATGGATGCATCCCATTTTAAAGTATTGTTTAGGTTCTGGCGATATACTTCAAAAGTTTTATTTTAATAATTTTATATTTTTGGTTCTTGAAAATATTGGAATATGCGAACTTTCAAGACATTTGGACTCTTATTTCACATAAGCTTTGTGAATTTTCAAAAACTTTGACCCTTTGCGAGGGAGGTGGGACTATATTTGTCCATTTTCACACCTGACATAAATCTGAAAAAATATATATTGGAATTTGCAATGATTTTTTCTCTTTCAACGAGGTACATTTTATTCGAAAATGTTAACATTTTGTAGGGCATATACCAGAAGGAGTGGTCAACGGTTGATCATCTTCGAACTCGATCTTAGTTTGACAATAATATTACGACGTACAAAGTTGGAACCAAATCGGATACTCCCTTCGAGATTCATCGTGCGCAGCAGCCATCCAGACAGAAAAACGGAGGACACCCCTAGATCGACTTCCAATGGCCTAAAACGGATTTCATACAAACGGACCTAGGTTCTAAAACTGTTATTTCGGTTAAGCGCGTTTTTGCCCTATCAAATTATGTGTGCCTTCAATAGCCGTATGGCTGGGGATATAAAAATTATTTTTATCATGTGTGTGTGTGTTTAGCAGCAAAGAATGTATTCGATATGACACAAACTTGCCGCAGATTTTGTTATAGAACCCCTCCAAAGACTGTTAATTTTAGTGTTTATGTTAGTTTTTCGAGCAATAACATTTTTTTACATGGGTTACAGGCATAGTCTCCGACTCCGCCAAAAAAAGGACTCTCCTTGAGGAGAACACATTTTAAAGGAGTTCTTTGGGTAAAAGAAGACATTTTTAGGTCTTGTGTGGGGGGAAGACATTTTGAAAGACACCTATGGATTGAGTTGGGCCAATCTAGTTTGATCGAACGAACTTCCGTGGACTCCGGTAGTTTGTATGAAAACTACGCGTATGAGTGATATGAAATATATGAAATCACTCATACGTTTAGGAACCGGTGTACTGCACTATGATCCAGAAGAGAAGATTCATGGAGGGAAAATTTCAGAATATCTCATATAATAAAAAATCTTCAAGAACTTTAATGACTTCTGTGAAGAAATGACCTATTGAAGGAATTTTCTGAAGGTAGCACTGTTGTAAGGTCACTTATAGGATAATTTGAAGAAATCCCGTGGAAAGAATCGTATTTTGTAAGTGTCCAATGGATAGGAGATTTTCGGGTGAGATAAAAAAAAATCTGCAACAAAATCGAACACCATAATTTTTACATTCTTGTTTTTTAATTTTATGATGTCGGATTTTAAAATGTAGGAAATAGCATCACATTTTAGAATAAGTTTAGATTTAGATTTTAGATTGGTCACCTTTGGCACAAATTATGACCTTCAAACGGACAATGAAACCGTCACACGTTGTCCGAATGTTGTTCTGCAGTATTTTGGTCCATTCCCGGCGAAGTGCTTGCTTGAGGTGATCGACACTTTGGTATTTTTTTAGTACCAACCTTGCTTTCCAAAATACTCCACAAACAATAGTCCAACGGATTGGTATCCGGAGATTTTGGTGGCCACTGTGTGCAGGAAATGAAGCAAGGAACCTCATTTTGTAACCATTCTTGGGTGGAGCGTGCTTCAAGGTCTGCGGCCAAAGTGTTTGCGTGCCCAATTCCTTAGTACATCCAGAATATTTTCGCGATAATATTCGGCATTTATTCTGATGCGAGCCATTTTTCGGCCACTGCGACGCGGGTTTCGATTAAGTCGCATCTTTACTTTTCGAACCATTTCTGCTGATGTTGCAATTACCGGTATCACGGTAACGAGCGATGGTACGAGACACGAAAGATTTATTCACATTTAAATGTTGGAGTGCTCTAACGATAGCCACTTATGGTTTTCCAGCCAAATATACGAATAATTTTTTTCTGGAAAATTCTCACAAAAATGATTTTGTAGGCTTGTAACCAATTTAATGAGCTGTCACTGAAATAATTTTAACAGCTGTCGGACGAGTGGCTTAAAAATTAGAGCAGTCTGAAATTGATGGCAGTTTTTTATCTCACCCTGTATTCTTGATCAGCATAAAATTCTATGTCGATTTAGCGATGTCCGTCCATCTGTCCGTCAGGCTACCTGTGGAAATCACTCTAGCCTCCGAACGAATTAAATTAGTTTGATAAAATTTTGCTCAAATGTATATTATGTCTGCAGGTCTTTTGGTATTGAAAATGGGCCATGTAGGTTCACATTTTGGTACAGACATTATTCACCGGAATTGTTTTAAATTTGGTATTTGAAGTTCGTAATAGATACTTCAGCCTTGGACTCTGCAGGTCTACGTCTTCGTATAGCCCCCATATATATTCGGTATTTTGATGATTTTAGCGATATTATTCACCGGCATTGGTATTTGAAGTTCGTAATTTTACTACAGCCTAAGACACACAAAATTGTCCGTTATGTGGGGGCTATACGAAGACGTGGACTTGCGCTCCAAATGGTGGAGGGTATTCAAAGTTCGGTCCGGCCGAACTTACAGCTTTTTTACTTGTAAAACGGTTAAGCTAACCGTTTCTCGAAAAATGTTATCGATAAAGATGGGTAGGTAGGTATCATCATTCCTTCAAGGAATGATTAAAAAAATCTCCTTAGCGTTTCAAGAGAATAACTATTTTATTCCTAAATTTTATTCAATCACCAACTTTTATTTAATTTAGTTCCCCCGCGGTTTTACGGTTTTCCGTTTCCTCAAACCATAATTGGACATAGTATGTGGCTTCTTATTTGAAATTCAAATTAGTTATTATGGCGACCACAAATATGGTTAAAGATTTCAAGTGACAAAGTTTACAAATTTTTAATGAAATTGTCTGCAGCAACTATCTCAATAATATCGTTAATAAAAAAATGTGATAGAGGTTAAACAATTTCACAGACCTCACTTAACCTATGAGAATATTAAATTTCTCGCATTTTTCAATAATGGCTACAGAATAAAGGGAAGAAGCAATTTCAAAATGATTTCGATAACTTGTCTTTCTAATAATTAAAACGATTACTTTTGATTATAGAAATTATGTCTCAGAATTAATATCTCTCTATAAAATATATATTTATACATAAAAATATATATTTTTCGATTGAAATAAACCTAGACTTAAGTATTATTATTATTATTATTATTATTATTATTATTATTATTATTATTATTATTATTATTATTATTATTATTATTATTATTATTATTATTATTATTATTATTATTATTATTATTATTATTATTATTATTATTATTATTATTATTATTATTATTTTATTATATTATATTATTATTATTATATTATTATTATTATTATTATTATTATATATTATATTATTATTCTTATTATTATTATATTATTATTATTATTATTATTATTATATTATTATTATTATTATTATTATTATTATTATTATTATTATTATTATATTATTATTATTATTCTTATTATTATTATTATTCTTATTATTATTATTCTTATTATTATTATTATTATTATTTATTATTATATTATTATTATTATTATTATTATTATTATTATTATTATTATTATATTATTATTATTATTATATTATATTATTATTATTCTTATTATATTATTATTATTATTATTATTATTATTATTATTATTATTATTATTATATATTATTATATATTATTATTATTATTATTATTATTATTATTCTTATTATTATTATATTATTATTATATTATTATTATTATTATTATTATTATTATTATATTCTTATTATTATTATTATTATTATTATTATTATTATATTATATTATTATTATTATTATTATTATTATATATTATTATTATTATTATTATTATTATTATTATTATTATTATTATTATTATTATTATTAGTATTATTATATTATTATTATTATTATTATTATTATATTATTATTATTATTATTATTATTATTATTATTATTATTATTATTATTATATTATTATTATTATTATTATTATTATTATTATTATTATTATTATTATTATTATTATTATTATTATTATTATTATTATTATTATTATTATTATATTATTATTATTATTATTATTATTATTATTATTATTATTATTATATTATTATTATTATTATTATTATTATTATTATTATTATTATTATTATTATTATTATTATTATTATTATTATTATTATATTATTATTATTATTATTATTATTATTATTATTATTATTATTATATTATTATTATTATTATTATTATTATTATTATTATTATTATTATTATTATTATTATTATTATTATTATATTATTATTATTATTATTATTATTATTATTATTATTATTATATTATTATTATTATATTATTATTATTATTATTATTATATTATTATATTATTATTATTATTATTATATTATTATTATTATTATTATTATTATTATTATATATTATTATTATTATTATTATTATTATATTATTATTATTATTCCTTTTTTTTTTTGAACTAAAACAAAAGAATTAATATACCTTCCCCGGACGATTGATTCGATCCAAAGGAAGTTCATCGATTTTCTTCTACACAATCACATTTTCAATGAAACAAATAATCGTTGCCCAAACTTTTTAATCCCTCCAGAATCTCCTTCAATTCATGCTAAGTTAGTTAATTAAAAGTAATTCAATACCATTTGCCTTCTGCACATGCCGAACTTGCCCCATAAATTGATGGAAAATTTGACAAAACCTTGCAAAAGCATTTGCCATACGGGTACAACAATTCGAAAAGTCAGTTTACACTTTATTACCACAAAATTATCCATCATATCAGGTGGCAAAACATTGCAGCACTTGTCCTATTTGCTCTCCTTTGGTTGGTTATGGGGTTGTTGTTGCTGCTATTGTTGTTATTCTTGCTGTTGACACTTTCATTTTTTGGAACATGCACAACATGAAATACGCTCCGGATACCTAGTGTCCAATGAATAACAAATTATGACAAATAGATGACACACAGTAAACCGTAGAACACATAATCTTACCAAATGTAACTAACATTGCATGGTTTAAAAGGGTCATTCAAGTAGGGGGTGATGGGAATTTTAAAGGGGAGAAAAAGAGAGATTGACATTTAGGGACACCTCAGTTAAAACCTGAGGGGATCAACATTAGTATTTGGCTATACTATCGTCCTTATGGCTACAGATACGGCGGAAGTGGGCCTTATTGATATTTGCAGTCGATCTACCCATGTCCGTCCCTCTGCTTACTATGACTCCCGAAGGGACTATATGATTTGATAATGTTTTTACCAAACTTAAGTCAAGTTCGACAATGTGCGATATTCCTCCTTCTGGTAAAACCATCCTATACAAAAGTTCAAGATTTAGAGAAAATATATAAAAAATCTCATATTTATTATGTGGAGAACTTAGGTGATCGGATTTTAACTAGTGACTATATATCACCTAGGCTAGACTTCGACACACTGGACACTTGGACCAAGAATACTCCACCTTTCAGCGGTATAGCTATCTATACCGACGGCTCTAAGATGGAAAGTACATGTGTTTCTGCAAAAGCCTGAATATCCGCAATTTATTCAAACTCAATAAAGATTCTAGCGTATTCGAGGCAGAAATCTTTACTATCAGGAAAGCCGTATAATTGCTGATAAATCGAACATTTGAACTGGATGAACCGGTGACTATATATGTAGGTAGTCAAGCAGCCCTAAAAGCGCTAAATTCATCCAGCATTAAATCTATGACAGTTCTGAAGTGCAGAATTGCTCTAGAAAAGTTGAAGTCCTATGTCAAGCTTTGATGGTTTCCTGGTCATAGCAATATTTCTGGCAATGAGGTGAATTGGCAAGGAATGGCTCCTAGTCAACTGTTCTAGAGATAGAGAACTTGGTGAAGCCAACCTTGTGTCACTTTTTCCAGATTATACACAAGCACAATTCTGAAAATTTTAGCATAACTGGTAATATGCAAGAGGCTGTATTGCTTCCAAAAAATTGGGCGATAATCTCCCAAAGAAGGTCTCTATCACTCATTTCCATGGCGAAATCGGACCTAAAACTTGTAGTAGGCTTAACCACAGGCCACTGTAATATAAGGGCGATGACTTCCAAGTGGGGGTGACTATTGCAGGCTTTGTCAAGACGAGGAAGAGATAGAAACTGCGGAACACTTACTCTGTCAATGTCAAACTCTTTATACTCACAGCCATATGGCTAGAGAGGATATATTCATTTCATACAGTCAAAACGTGTCTAGTCGAAATAACGGTTCTAGGTCTCTTTGGACCAAATCCGTTTCAAGACATTTGGAGTCGATCTAGCGATGCCCATCCATCCGTCCGTCCGTCTGTCTGGCTGGCAGGTGCGCACAATAACTCTCGAGGGAGTATCCGATTTGGTCCAAACTTGGTACATCGTAATATTTTTGTCAAACTAAGATTGAGTTCGGAGATAGGCAATATCGTTCCACTCCTTCTGGTACCTCCTCCACAAAAGATCGAAATTTTCAAAAAATATATTTTCTGCACAGAACGAGAAACGATAATCCGATTTTGCTCCAACTTTGCAAATCCTAATATTTGCGTCACTGCTATATTGCTTCACTCCATCAAATACCTCCCCACAAAGGGTCACAATGTTTAATAATTACAATTCCTATAAAATGTGATGTAAGAATCCGATTGTCTCCAAATTTCTACTAACACAAGATCTGTTGTGAAGATGGGATATATCGGTCCACTCCTTCTGGTACCTCCCTTCAAAATTTTGAATATCTATGGAGCTCATAAAAAGCGAAATTAACATCCGATTCCATTCCAGACTTGATACATCTCAATATTTCCATAAACACAAGATATGTTATAAAGATGGTATAGATCGAACCATTTCTTTTGCTACCTGCCCACAAAGGGTTTAAGTTTAGAAATAGAAAATAATTATCGTGACACAACAAGAAAGGATAATCCAATTTTGTTCAAACTTTAAAAATTTGTACCATTGCTAGGTCGGGTGCGAAAATGGATAATATCAGTCCACTCCATCAAGTACCACCCACAAAAGGGTCAACATTTTAAATAATCATAAAATGTGAAATAAGATTCCGATACGAAATTCTTCTTCAAATTTTACAAAATCTAGAATGTAAGTATTTTAATAACACCAGATCAGGTGTGAACATGGGATATATCGGTCCACTCCAAAATTTTAAATAACCATGACGCTCATAGAAGGCGAAATGAGAACCCAATTTTTTTTTCAAACGTGACACATCCTAATATTTTCGCCAACACAAGGTCTATTATGGAGACGGGATACATTGGTCTACTCCTTCTGGTACTTCCCCCACAAATGGCCAAAATTTTGAATAATTGTCCTCATGTTTTGCACATCTCAATATTTTTACCAACACAAGATCTGTGATATGTTTCATCTTCACACCACTCCTTCTGGTATCTCTTCCACAAGGGATCATCGTTTTGAACAATTATGTCTCTCACAAAATGTGAAATAAGCATCCGATTCTCTTCAAATTTCACCCGTCTCAATTATTTTATTAACAAAAGATTTGGTATAAAGTTGGGATATATCCGTTCACTCCTCCTGGTATTCCTCTCCCCCAACGGGTCAAAATTTTGAATAATTATACTTCATATAAAATACGAAACAAGCATCTGATTCTTTCTAAACTTCGCACATTCCAATAATTCGAAATTTGGTATTTGAAGTTCGTAATGGCCTTTGACAAAAAATTCTCCCTGAAGGTCCACGCCTTCGTATAGCCCCCATATAACGGCACATCCCAATATTCGTTATTTTGATGACTTTAGCAACATTATTCACCGGAATTGGAATCGAAATATATGCTATAGTAACTATGACAAAAAATATAAATATAAAGGTATATCATTAGAGCGGTATTTTTCGGAGGAATATTATTTTATTATTATTATTTTTTTTTTGTGAAAATTTTTATGTTTTTATTTTATAATAAAAAGTTCGGCCCGGCCGAACTTAGCTTTTTTTATTTGTTTTATTATAATATTTAAATTTTTATTATTTCCAACAAATTGGGTATATTTTTTAATAATAACTACCACCAGGTTATCAAGAACACCTTGATAATTTGAATCACATTGTCCTTTAATCTTAATTCGACATGTCAATCATGAACTTCATTTCGAAAATTTTTGCCAACTTCCAATGAAGGGAGAAAGCATCATTGGAATTTAATCTGAAATTAATTATGATGACATATTGAAAACAAAGAACGGTCTTCTGTGTAAATATCTCTTCATGCTAAATTTGACCATAACACTTTTTCCGGGTTTTGGCGCTAACGAAGGAAAACAAAAAGTAGCCACCAGCCACCATTGTGTACTATTCCATGAATTTATTAGTGAACATAACTCTCCAATTTCTATTGTCTCACTCTACCCTTCTCTCTCTCTCTCTCTCTCCTGTCTCTCTTCCAGGTACTGTGAATGGCTATGAGGTAACATCGAGCAAGCATTCGGATGGTGATGGTCCAAAACGAGCTCAGCAGGCACAACACACGGACGGTAACACAGCACCAGCGTCGTCGTCATCAGCAACAGGTTCATATTCCACAACAAGTTGTACCAGCACACCTCTGAGGCAACGCCTGCCCTCGCAAGCGGGTCTCAGTGATCTCAGTTCAGCGAATCCGGGTATATTTGTGGGCGGCATTGGTGGCAGTAACATTTACTGCAACAACATACAAACACCCAGCACATTTAATAGCAGCAATCTCGGTGTCAATTATTCCAGTGTAGCTGGTCCCACTACGGCCAGTGGAGGTAACATCAACAGCAGTGGAGGTTCTGGTGTAACTGGTACAGCAACAGGTCCTGTGGGTGGTAGTGGTACAACCGGAAGCGGAGATTGTGGCATTGTTGGTACTGCAGCAGCAGGAGCAACAGCAACAGGAGCATCGTCTGGTTCCGCATCGGCCTCAACACCATCAGCAGGTGGAGGAGGCAGCGGCGTCGCCAGTGTTCCCAGACGCCAGGGCAGTTTTACGAATGTGTTTTCGAAAATAATTGATGGTATGCCAGCCGGAACAATGTTTTCAAAATTCAAAAACGTCAGCACTCCAGTCGTCCAGCAGACTGTCATCGATGGCAATCCCATTAAACAGTATTTTGACATTGGCAAACAGGTGGCCTGTGCTGGGCCAGAGTTGGCATGGAAAATCCATGAGGGACACCGGAAAAATGACGGAAAGGTAGGTTGAGTGGTGGCCGTCTGTTGTTGTCCTCGTAGGCAATGCAAGGCTATTTGTCTGCTAACTGCAATTTCATTAGGGTAGTGGCGATGGGGATGCCACCTTGGGCACAATGTGGATGGATTGTTGCCACCAGCAGCATTCATGACTAACTAACTGACTGGTTGACTGACAGACTGGACGACTTCCTGACTGATCGTTTGTCTGACAGCATACAAATTGTTCTCTTGTTTCAATTATGTTTTCATTTTCTCCCCCATCGCTGCCATTGTTGTTGTTACTCTTGTTATTGTAATTGTTGCACTTTTGTTTACCACCACATTCTATTTTGTTGCAGGTATGCTCAATATTTGTTTTCGAGAAGAAAATTGCAGAAAAATTGCACAAACCGAGACGCAAAGAAACCATTACGGAAATTTTAAAAAATTCTGTAAAAAATTTGGAACGATTTCGACATCCGAAGGTAAGTCAGTGGTGTGATGGATTAAAATGCCATAACTACCATTGTTATATATATATTTTTAAATATTTTATAAAGTTAGTGTGAAATAAATATTAAGAGAAGGAATGGGCTTACCGGCAATAATCTGCAAAAAGAGAAAAAAATATTAAAATATAAAAAATAAATATGAAAATTCCATAGACTGTCGGAAATAATGTTGATAGATAGTTTTAAGGTAAAATATATATTTTTTGTATTTAAATCATTTTTTCTTTGTTATTTTCAAATAAAGTTTCAAAGATATGTAAATTGTATCTAAAATATTTAAAAAATGTTTTATCCATCCAATTTATATTTTTGATAAGGTTCCAAATATGCAGGGTGAGATAAAAAATTGCAACAAAGTCAAACGCCAAAATTTTTACTTTTTTTAAATTTTTTTTGAATGAAAGCAAAAAATGTCAGAAATAGCAGCAAGTTTTAGAATACGTTTACATTTATTCGAATTGGTCACCTTTGGCACGAATTATGCCCTTCCAACGGCCAATGAAATCGTCACACCCTGCCCGAATGTTGCTCTGCGGTATTTTGGTCCATTCACGACGAAGCGCTTGCTTGAGGTGATCGACACTTTGGTATTTTTTAGAGCCAACCTTGCTTTTCAAAATACTCCAGACACAATAGTCCAACGGATTGGTATCTGGAGATTTTGGTGGACATTGTGCGCTGGAAATGAAGCGAGGAAACTCATTTTGTAATCATTCTTGGGTGGCGCGTGCTGAGTGCGATGATGCTGAGTCCTGTTGGAATGTCCAAGTCAAAATGTTTGCGTACCTAAGGCTTTAATACACCCTCCAGAATATTTTCGCGATAATATTCGGCATTTATTCTGATGTAACGGTCGATTAATACGAGCGGAGAGCGACGATCGGCTGTTATGGCAGCCCACACCATCACCATAGCCGGCGCTTGAGTTCTGGTGGCCAACCGCTGGCCTCTTTGGCAAGTAAACACCGATCATTTTGTTTGTTTACAAACTGCTGGACAACGAATGTTTTCTCTTCGGAGAAGATACGGCTCACGAGACATATTTCGGCCACTGCGACGAGGGTTTCGATCAAGTCGCTGCTTTACTTTTCGAACAGTTTCTGCTGATGTGCCAATTCCATCTGATTGGTATACGGAGATTTTGGTGGCCATTGTGCGCTGGAAATGAAGCGAGGAACCTCATTTTGTAACCATTCTTGGGTGGAACGTGCTGAGTGCGATGGTGCTGAGTCCTGTTGGAATGCCCAAGGTCTGCGGCCAAAATGTTTGCGTGGCTTTAATACACCATCCAGAATATCTATTCTGATGCCACGGTCGATTTATACGAGCGAAGGGTGACCACCGCCTGTTATGGCGACCCACACCATCACCATGGCCGGCGCTTGTGTTCTTTTCTTGAGTGGTCGGCCGAAGGTGGACATTTTTAGCTGACCTCTTTGGCAAGTAAACACGATAATTTTGTTTGTTTACTAACTGTTTTCTCATCGGAGAAAACCAAATTCGGCAGTTCACCATTTTCGGCCAAGCGAAGCAACTCTTTAGCTCATTTGAGTCTATTTTCTTTCTATCGCGGTGTAAGTTCTTGCACTTTTTGGAATTTTAATGGCTTTACCCCGAACTCAATTTTTTCAATATTTGTCAAATGGAATATTGCGATATGTTCAGCTCACTAGCCATTTTTCGGCAACTGCGACGCGGGTTTCGATCAAGTCGCTTCTTTACTTTTCGAACCATTTCTACTGATGTTGCTGTTTTTTTTTTTTTTTTTTCGTCGACTTCCTTGACGTCGGGCTACGTTATCACGGTAACGGGCGATGGTACGAGGCATAAAAGATTTTTTCACATTTAAATGCTGGAGTGCTCTAACGATAGCCACTTGTGATTTATGTTAAGAGAGCTTTCTGAATTGACAAAATCTGTCAAAATCGGTTTAGCCATTCTTGAAATATAAGCATTTTAGCTAACATCCCCTTCCTTTATATATATACATTGTATATATTTCGCTATATATTTACTATATATTCACTATCGGCATCTACGTAGCGGTCAGAATTGACCTATTCGTCTATTTGTGATTTCACCGGGATTAAAAATATTCGCGGTTTAGTGGAAAAATTGACTTATATTTAATACAAATGTTATGGTCTATTTCATTCACTAAATATTGTCCAAATCGGAAAGCTTCTGCCCTGCCTCAAACTCTAGCTCGATGTTAACGTTGGCGTCGATTTGTCTATAATTGCAACCTGTAGAGCAACTGCAAAATAAGGATATTGTTCAGTTTTTGGTCCATTTCAATCCTTAAATATTATGCGATCGTCTAAAAAAGCAGTAGGCTTCTATTCTGAGCATAACCCCACCTCCATTTTCAATTGAGCATCGGGCTATAATTGAGTCCTGTAGAGTGATTACAAATTAATATGGACAGACGGACGGACATACATAGCTAGATCGACATAGCTCGACTTTACCATGTGGGAAACCAATATTTCTTGGTGTTACATAATTTTTGGTCCAATCAAACTTATAATATATATGTAATATTTTCAATTTTTCGAGTTTTGTCTCGTTAAGGCGAAGGTCAATCTTTTTTGATTTATTTATTTTTGTTATAAAATCTCCTAAAATAGTTTCTCATATTTTTCTCAATTTTTCTTCTCTCAATTATTTGCAGATGTTGCAGGTCATTCACACTGTGGAGGAATCATCTGACACTTTAGCATTTGCCACAGAACCTGTTATGGCCAGTTTGGCAAATATTTTGGCCTATCATGTAAGTATTTTGAGAACAATTTTTCCGTATTTTCTATAGAAACCAAAAATAAACATTTGAATAACATTATTAAGGTAAATGGTGAGGCCTATGTCATTTGTATGTCATCAATCTCCAAATCTGTAACATATTTAGCCCTCCCCCCAGAAAACACATTATTTTTATTTGAAAAGCTTTTTCACATTTTTTTTTTTGTGTTTACCCAAATCTTATGGTTTTGCCCCTCTGTCACATTATAAAGTCATTTTGTGTTGGGGAATGTAAATGAATTTGTTAAAATAGGGAACGGTATGAAATACTTGTTTAGGATACTGCCCTAAGGATATTTGCTACAGTTTTTCTTTCTGAAGTGTTCAGAGTTGAAAAAAAAAAATTAATGGGAAGAGCATTTGGTGTATATTATTTTTGGGAACTTAATTCGGCCTAGATTCCTTGAAAGGTTCGACAAGAAAATCGACTAAAACTAAAATTTATTACATCTGTAGGAGTTGAAATATTTAAAAACAATTATGGAAAGCAATATGGAGAAGGGTATTTTCCTTAAACCTGAATCTGATAAAACAATGTACAGGGTGAGATAAAAAACTGCAACCAACTTCAGACTGCTGAGCATTTTGGTGAAAATTTTCCAGAAAAAAAGTTATTCGTGATGGAATTCAAGCGTGATAGTGTAATTTTTTTATATTTGGCTTGAAAACCACAAGTGGCTATCATTAGAGCACCCTAACATTTAAATGTGAATAAATCTTATGTGTTTCGTAATATCGCTCGTTACCGTCATGCTGGTAGCGTAGCCCGACGTCAAGGAAGTGAGCGGAAGAAACAGCAACAGCAGCAGAAATGGTTCCAAAAGTAAAGATGCGACTTGATCGAAACCCGCGTCGCAGTGGCCGAAAAATGGCTCATGAGCTGAACATATTGCAATGTTCCATTCGACAAATATTGAAAAATGAGCTCGGGGTAAAGCCATTGAAATTCCTATAAGTGCAAGAACTTCCATCGCAAAAGAAAGAAAATAGACTCAAAAGAGCTAAAGAGTTGCTTCGCTTGGCCGAAAGTGGTGAACTGCCGAATTTGGTTTTCGCCAGCAGTTTGTAAACAAACAAAATTATCATGTTTACTTGCCAAAGAAGTCGGCGGAAAATGTGCATCTTCGGTTGGCCACCAGAACTCAAGCGCCGGCCATAGTGATGGTGTGGGCCGCCATAACAGCCGATGGTCGCTCTACGCTCGTATTAATCGACCGTGGCATCAGAATAAATGCCGAATATTATCGCCAAAATATTCTGGAGGTTGTATTAAAGCCTTGGGCACGCAAACATTTTGGCCGCAGACCTTGGACATTCCAACAGGACTCAGCACCACCGCACTCAGCACGCGCCACCCAAGAATGGTTACAAAATGAGGTTTCTCGCTTTATTTCCAGCGCTCAATGGCCACCAAATTCTCCGGATACCAATCCGTTGGACTATTGTGTCTGGAGTTTTTTAGAAAGCAAGGTTGGCGGTAAAAAAATACCAAAGTGTCGATCACCTCAAGCAAGCACTTCGCCGGATATGTCACAATACCGCAGAGCAACATTCGGGCAGCGTGTGACGGTTTCATTGGCTGTTTGAAAGTGCCAAAGGTGACCAATTCAAACAAATCTAAACTTATTCTAACATTTGATTTTTTGCTTTCATTCAATAAAATTTAAAAAAATGTAATAGTTATGGCGTTTGACTTTGGCATTTTTCATAGAATTCCAGACAAGACTTTCTGACTTTTGTTAAGCCATGTGATAATAATGTTAAAAATACTCAAAACTTCAAGTCAATTGACAAAAATGGAATATATAAAGTTTTACCATGAGCGTTAGCTGGTCCATCTTTTGTCGTTTGGTGATCTTGAAGAAATTACACATTTCAATCCAAATTTTCAACACTGGCGTGTTTCTACCAAACATTTATAAAGTTTAATTCATTACTTCCTATCGAAAAACTTTTTTAAAAATTTATGAATTCTTATTCATCTACAACGTAAAATTATTAAAAATCTGCCGTAAGAGATGCATTCCCCTTCTAACTACCACCACCTGCAAAAAATGCTGAAATTTAAGTTCACAGTGCAGAGTAGTCTATTGTTTTTTGTTTTTCTTATCTCACATCTAAACTTTGTCAACGAATCCCTGTAATGAATTCATATTTTCCTGGACAGCCATGTACTTCAAAAAGTTTTTTGTTGCCTCTATTTCCCCTGTCATGACCGTAGTAATGCGGTCACACCAATGTCATGCACAGACATCTATGTAAATGTGTATTGGGTTGGTTTGACCGCTGTCAGTGTGTGTGTGTAGTTACATATTTTTTTACAACACTACTTGTTGTTGGACAATATAGGTCATATAGGCAAAATATTTTTAAAAAATTCTTCTAAAGACAGAAAAATTTTCAAACATAAAATTTCACAGAAAAGAGAATACTTTTAAAATGTCTCCTATAGAGAAAAGAGGTCTTTTGTGGACAGAAAAAAGGACTGCAAAGAAATTCGATCGACGGAAGACTCTTATATAGGGAGAGAACCTGCATCTGAAGCGAGTAAACCTTTTATTTGTCTTCTATAGACACATGTCATTTTAAAAGCTTCCTATTGGGAGAGGTCTTCTATAAAATGAAAAGTTTTAATATGCCTTCTAAAAACTGAAGACGTTTGAAACTTTTTGTATACTGGCCTTTTAAGGGGGTTCTATAGCCAGAAGAACTCTTAAAGCTCCTCCATTGACAGAATTCTTTTTGATTTTCATAGAGCGAGTTAAGTGTTAAAGATCCCTCCTTTTTTTTAAAAAAAATAAAAGTATCTTTACAGAGAACGTCTGTATGGAGACCTTTTTTAGGTCTTGGATGGAGAAAAGACCACGATATGCAAAAAAAAATATTTATAGGTCTTCTATAGAATGAAGAGCTTTTAAATGCCTTTTTAAAAACAGAAGACGTTTGCCAGACTACGTTTTAAAAGTAGACAGACTACGTTTTAAAAGTCTTATATAGCCAGAAAGCTCTTCCATTGGCAGAAGGCATTTGTATGTTTTTATAGAGCGATTTAAGTGTTAAAGGTCTTTTTTGTAGACAAGTATTAGGTCTTATAAAAGAAATTGAGGTCCCTTACACAGTGGTTTCTTTATAAAGAAAGACAACCTTTTAATTGTTGCTTTTATTTAAAAAAACTGAAAATGTTTTGAACAAGACTAGAGAGTCTTCTATAGACAAAAGACCTTTTGACCTTTTTACAGTTTGAGGTCCTTTGCGGGGAAAAGACCGACTTAAAGTCCTTACCCAAAGTAAAAAAATAAACATATTAAAAGTGATTTTTTTTTTTTTTTTTTTTTTGTGAGGAAATCTGTTTTTAATTTTTACGATAGAAAGAAGAGGTCTTTTATTAAGGTCTTTAGAGTATTATATATGTACATGTACACAGAGAAGATTTCAAGGTGTACGGTAAGGAAAATGCCTTTCCAAGCTTCTTCCACTGAGAAAAGGTCTGATAAAGATTTTCTATAGCAAATATATATTTTTATAGGTCTTCTTTACATAAAAGACATTTTAATGATGTTCTATACAACGAAGTCATTTTAAAGGTCACTCATAAAAATAATGGGGGGTACCTGGGGTACCTTGGAAGGTGCTCTCCGAGAAACTGAAAATTTTTCCCAGATCTAGAAATACAATACCCATTAGAAACTAATTTTAAGGTCTGTTAAATAAAGAGCTCCCTTTAGAGATGTTGTATTGTAAAGAGACCTTTTTAGAGGTATAGAGGTTAAGATCTAGAGAGATAGAGGTTAAGATCTTCTGAAAAAAGAAGTAATAGAAAATATTGTTTTTAATTATAAAAAAACTTCAAAGGTGTTCTATCCATAGAAAAGACTTCTATATACTGAAGACCTTTCGCAGGTTTTGAATGAAGACTTTTTATAGATATTCTAACTTCTGCCTATAGGACAACCTTTAAAGGTTTTTTTTTATAGAGAGAAGAGATTCAAAAGGCCTTCTAAAGACTGAAGGCGTTTGGAAGATTTTAGTACAAAAAACAGTTTTACATGTCTTCTATATGGAAAATATTCTTTACAGAGTAAAGATCTTTTGAAGGTCTTCGATAGACCATTTCAAGGATTTTTATAGAAAGAGAACACCTCTAAAGGTGATCTCTGGGAAAATACGTTTCCACGTTTCTCGGTAGAAAGAAGACTTTATATTTTTGAGTGTCTACTACAGAAAGAAAACCTTTTGAAGGACTTCGAAATATGCGAAATCTTCTGTAGTTATTCTTTTGAGAGAAGATCTGCTAAAAAACCTGTTAATGATCGTATAAGGACAGAATACCTCTTACAGGTCTTCTACACCTTTTTCAGATGTAATTCGAAACATTCTAATTGTAATTTGAGAATTATATTTGTAATTCGAATCATTCGACTTGTAATTCGATTCATTTAAGTTGCAATTCGAGAATTCTAATTGTAGTTCAAACTATATCAGTTGTAAATCAAGAATTCCAATTGTAATTCATATTATTTCATTTGTAATTCGAATTATTCCAATTGTAATTCGGGTTATTTCAATTGTAATTTGAATTATTTCATTAATTACATTACTTTTGTTGCAAAATAATTTATAATTCGAATTTTTTTAATTTTAATTCGAATGATTTAATTTCAAACTTTAAATGTAAAAATTCAAATTACAAATAGAATCATTCGAACTACAATTGGGATCATTCGAACTATAATTGGAATAATTCAAATTGCAAATGAATTGAATCGAAACAAAAATGGAAAATTTTGAATTAAGATCGGAATAATTCGAATTACAAACACAATAATTCCAATTACACATGAAATAATTCGAATTACAAATGAAATCTTACGAATTAAATAAAAAATTCGAATAACAACTAAAAAAGGTGTAGACACAGAAAGCATTGTAAATATCTTCTGTAAACCTAACGAAGGTCTTCTATTGGCGGCAGACGGGTTCTCTACGGAGAGAATGCGATTTAAATCACCTATAGTTCTTTTGAAGATGTTCTTTTTAATAGCTTCAATGGATGGACGATCATCGAAAGGACTTTTATAAATCGAAAATCTTTTTAAGGTCCTTTATACTAGCGCTATAAGAAAACATGGATTTTTTTTAGGACCTATAAAGAAAGTTATCGTCTACAGCGGTTGGTATTTCCCAGGATCATCAAATACAAATTTTGAATTACTTCCGCTAAAAGCTGCGGCTAAAATAATCAAAATGGGAGCTATATAAGCAAAAATTGGAAACAAATCCATTTGAAAATGTGACTATTTATGTAAAAATTCCGATGAACCACCATTTACAGGAAAACGTGAACCTATACAGGGTGAGATAAAAAAATGCAAAAAAGTCAAATGCCATAATTTTTACTATTTTGAAATATGTCAATAGTCCAACGGGTTGGTATCCAGAGATTTTGGTGGCCATTTTGCGCTGGAAATGAAGTGAGCAACCTCATTTTGTAACCATTCTTGGGTGGCGCTGAGTCCTCTTGGAATGTCCAAGGTCTACGGCCAAAATGTTTGAGTGTCCAAAGCTCCAAATACACCAGAATATTGAGTTCCAGAATATTGAGTTTTGGTGGCCAACCGAATGTGCACGATGATTTTGTTTGTTTGTTTACAAACTGCTGGACAACGAATGTTTTCTCATCGGAGAAAACCAAATTCGGCAGTTCACCACCTTCGGACAAGCGAAGCAACTCTTTGGCTCTTTTGAGTCTATTTTCTTTCTGTTGCGGTGTAAAATCTTACACTTTTTGGAATTTCAACAGCTGTAATTTTAATAGCTGTCGAACGAATGGCTTAGAAATGACAGCATTCTGAAGTTGGTTGCAGTTTTTTCATCTTACCATGTATAGGCAATGATTCATTTAAAAATGTGACTATTTCCGTAAAAACTCCGATTAAATATTTAAAGCAAAATGTGTACTCAGCCGCAGGAGCCATTACGGGCCCTAAATACCGAATTTTAAGAAATTTCATTAAAAATGGTGTACAAAAGTGGCTGATACAGCTCTTGAAAAGCTTCCTCGAAAAAAGAGACCAAAATTATTGAAATACTGAATTCCAATACGCAGAAGTGGGGAGCACCGAGGCTTTAATCTCACCTTTGGATACTATCATCCAAAGTATAATTTTTTGTACTTTTTCATGGAAAAGATAGAAATTATGGCACGTATTGTAAAAATACCAAATATCGGGAAGTACTGTTATATGAGAACTATACAAGAACGTGGACTGACTCCCACTTACAAACTTATCGATGCCGATGGCAAAATACATATACATCATTTTAGCATTTTTTTTTTTCAATTTATTCGAAAGAGATCATGATTTCAACAGGCAGACTGGATAAAACAAGTATTTTCAAATGGAAAAGGGATTTAATGAAATTATTATAACGTACAAAATAAAATTGTCAAACCGGCCAAAAATATTCCGATCGAACCACACCATTATTTAATAGAGATACTATTTTAATTTTTTTTTTTTCATTTTTTCGTTCGAAAGAAAAACACATACCACCACCCCCTTAAACTAAATATGACATTGGCATGTTTTTACATTTTATTATCTGTTTTTATTTCTCAACAGTTTCGTTTTTTGTTGTTGTTGTTTGCATTGTTGGCATATCTTGTGTCAGACAAGCAAACAAACCCGACGCAAAAAACAAGGAATTTAGAAACCCCACAACAATAACCAAAGTAAACCACATAAAAGCCAACATGTTGAATATTACAACATGTTGCTGTTGTTATTTGAAAAGTTTTTCTAGTTGTGTGTGAGTGTGTGTGTTTTTTTTTTCGGAAAAATATATCAACAACAACAAAAACCCCAGTCATGGTGACAACAGTAGCAACACAACATAAGGAATTAATTTTAATTGCAAAATGGACAAGCTGGAGTCGGTCTTTTGACCCAGTTTGTACAACAACAACAAAAAAAAAAACAAATACATATTTATTACAACTAATTTATGTATGGTTGTGTAGTTGAAAGTTGGTAAAACTTTTATGAAAATTAATTGCAGGCTGGATTTTTTTATTCAAAGTTTTTAGAAGACATTTGAAATGTGATGTGGCTACTTAAAAATGATTTATTACATCATCATGTTGAAATTTAAACGTTTCCTATTTCATTACAGGAATCCAAGACATATGAAAATGTTATGCCACCCAATTCTGGAAATAATCAAAATACCCAACCCAGCCAACCTGCCGTACCACAGAGACCGGCCCATGCCAAGGAGTATACGTTTTTGGATATTGAATTGAAGTGTGGATTTTTACAGGTAAGCAAATGAATCCATTAAGGATGTTTGATGGGAAATGTAGAGTACAAAGAAACAATATGACGCCGATGTGGAACTGTTAATTATTAATTTGAATTAAAAACAGCCCAGATAGGTAAGGCGAACATTGAAAGATGGTATTTTAAATTCTTTTTTAGTTTTTGCTCAGTGGTATACTGCCTCTATACCTACTTCAACTTCAATCAGAGTTTTCATAGCTACTCCTTATCAATGCTAAACCTGTTCACCGACCGTATGCTGTCAAATTTAGAACATTTTGATACAAATTGTACGAACTTTCAATACAGCTCCCATATCTCATTTTTACAATTTAAGAAAATTCCGTTCACACAATGCAACGATTACAAAGTTTAGTAGAGTTTAGTTTTTTTCTCTAATTAATAAACACATGCCTATAAATACCTAGCTACCTCAATCCTACATTTAACAATTACTTCCAGTACAAGGTTCAACTGTCTTAGTCATATCAGTTAAGCGAACGGAAATTGTCCTAATGGTACGATTTTTAACAAGTAAAAAGAACCTAAATTTGGCCGGGCCGAACTTTTAGTACCATTCACCACTTGGTGGAAACTTGAAAAATTTAAAAAAATCGTGAAAAATACCATTTAAATCAAGGCTAGGCAAAGAGTATCCCTTGGGATATCTGTGTGTTCACCAACACAACTGCAAAAAATAAATTGTTTTGAATTTTCTGTAAAATTGGTTTTGGGAGAATATTTAGTTTTATTCGAGCAGTCAATGGGGAAGGTGCTGTCGGATATTTTTATGTATACACCATAAGAAATATTGGAGCACATAAATATATCTAACTACAAATTTCAAACAAATATTTGCGAAATTGTAAAAATTACGACTGTTGAGATTTATTTATTTATTTATTTATTTTTTATTTTATTTTATTTTTTTTTTTTTTTTTTTTTGATTGATTTCTGTTTGACAGAATTTGTATAGGGCTTCATATTTTAGAAGTAGGAGTTCATTTTAATATCCCCCGATTTCTATGAGTAAAATCAGAGTAAAATTCTACGACTATTTGCATATGTCTGTATGTCAGCCCGTGGAGATCGGTATTACTTTTTAAGGGTCAACGTAGGTGGTAAGCATGTTAGGTCCGAAATTATTAAACACAAATAACATCAAAATTATGTAACATTTCTGAAAATGTTAACTTATATATTTTTGAAGGGCATTTGTATCTTTTTGTATACCCTCCACCATAGTACGGAGGGTATATTAAGTTTGTAACACATCGAAATATACATTTTAGACCCCACAAAGTATATATATTCTTGATCAGCATAAAATTCTATGCCGATTTAGCGATGTCCGCCCCTCTATCCGTCTGTGGAAATCACTCTAGCTTTCGAACGAAATGAAATAGGTTAATAAAATTTTACTCAAATGTATATTACGTCTGCAGGACTTTTGATATTGAACATGGGCCATATCGGTCCACGTTTTGGTATAGCCCCTATATAACGGTAACTCCTGATATTCAGTATTTTGATGATTTAAGCTACATTATTCACCGATTTTTTTTAGGTTTCGCATTTGAATATTGTATTGGCTTACGACAAAATTGCCTATGCAGGTCAACGTCGTCGTATAGACCCTAATAAAACGGCTACATTCGGTATTTTAAGGATTTTAACAACAATTTTAACGGATTTTATTTATTGAATACTGCCAAATTCGTTCCACCCGTATTCAAAGTTCAAAGGCCGAACTTACAGTTTTTTGATTTATTTTAAAATGAATAATAATTGAAATAATTGTGGAAATATATCTCCGAATTGTCTGATCAAAATATTAATTTTTACCAACACTTTGTTTTGAATATAGAAAATTTAAAGATAAAAAATTATTTCTCACTGTGTTAAGAGAGGCAAAAAATACGTGCAATATTTTGTTATTTCTAAATACATACAGTCACAAAAAAAATTTGAGGCTCTCTGCCTAGCCCTGGTTTAAATGAAAACTGTTATATGGGCCCTTTACGAAGAAGGACCTGCATAAGTAATTGTTGTCATAGACTATAGTACCGATTCCGAACTTCAAATGCGAAAATTAACAAATTCCGGTAGTTAGTGTCACTAAAATCATCAAAATACCGAATATCGAGAGCTACCGTTATATGGGGGCTATAGGAAAACGTGGACCGATATGACCCATTTACGAGCTTAATGTCATTACAACAGACAGACGGACAAACGGACATCGATGTGAGTATTTCGAGGAGTTACAAACAGAATGACAGTAGCAATTTTTACTCCAGCAGTGATCATAATGCTTGTAGCTTCATCTGTTTTCTCCGCATTAGTACCAAAAGCTTAGTGCAAAATCCCAATGAATTTAGCTTTAGTCGTTTGGTCTAGGTTTTAATAAATCAGTCAAGAGCTTGTAGCAATGCTCTTGCTAAAGAGAAAAATGTGTTTCGCTAACCAATCTCAGTTGAGGAGAGAGTACACACGTCTCTCGTACTTTGCGTACAGTAGTATTCGACGATTTCGGAAGAAAACTGTTCTTTAAATTTCGGCCGTTCCACGAAGTAAATGAGAATTTCTTGCCCTATTATCTGCCAATCTACAGAATATCATCTATATCCCTGTGGGTAAATGGCAATCTTATTGAATAGAAACCTTAATATCGGATGTATGTTCAAAGACGATGTATGGAGCAGAGACGTTTCTTCAACTTCTCTCTTGGTCTGATACAAGCGTGGTATCTATGAACTGTTTCATACTCTTAATACTTGGCAACATCGGATAAATCCTCCAAAATGTGCTTCACTGAAATAGGTTTGTTTGGACGAAAATAATTTTTAGGAAATTTAGAGCGGATCTAACGTAATATCTTTGAATGGCTGGGTATCTGGACCTTCTGACACCTCTCCAATAAAAAGTCCTAACATTGAATAATTATTGCTTTCCGATTTTCTTAAATCTATGGATATTCCAATACTTCTACCAAAATAAGATCTATTTCAATTTCAATTTCTCAATTCTCAAAACTATGTTTACAAAACTAAATAATTACAAATTTGTATAATTAGGAAAAGAATGGAGAAGCTGTATCAAAAAATTAAAACTAAGAATAAAAAAGTCCAATGTTAATAATGTTCAAGTGAACTCCCTGGTGATGAATATCGAAGATAGTCAGAGTATTGGGAAAATAAATTGAAATATAAACCAGTAAAAAAAAGTCCTAAAGTCGGGCGGGGCCAACTTTATGATACCCTACACCACTTTGCTAATTCAGTAGAGCTCCACATAACAATTAAGGGTTTTTATGATATGATTATTATAATTATAACTTTAAAGTTCAAAGGAGTAAATATGCCGAAGCATTTGTATGTTTTAAATTCGGACTTGTATTGCCCATTTGGTGCAAAATTAATTTGAAATCAGATAAAAATATATATGGGAACTATATCCAAATCTGAACCGATTTCGATAAAATTTGGCAAATATATTTCTGAGCTGTATTTCATATATTTCCCTGAATATTGTTACGGCTGTGGGTAACAAATATAACAAATCGGATGAACAATATATATGGGAGCTATAGCTATATCTGAACCGATTCACCAAATTCGACATACTAGCTTCTAGACTCAATTCGGTCGTAAGTGCCAAATTTCGTCCCATTTGGACAAATATTAGACGTTTGGTGCACAATAAAAGGTAAATCGGACGAAGTTATATATGGGAGCTATATCCAAATCTGAACCGATCTCGATAAAATTTGGCAAAGATATTTCTGAGCTGCATTTGATATATTTCCCCAAATATTGTTGTTACAGAGTGCATATTACGGCTACGGAGGACAAAAATAACAAATCGGATGAACAATATATATGGGAGCTATAGCTATATCTGAACCGATATCGATCAAATTTGGCATACATATTTTCAGGCCTACTTTGGTTGCATGTGCAAAATGTCATTCTATTCGGGCTGATATTACACGTTTGGTGCTCAATAAAAGACATATCGGACGAAGATATATATGGGAGCTATATCTAAATTTTTACCGATTATCTCCAATTTCAATAGGGTTTGTCCTTGGGCCAAACAAATGTTGTTTGGAAAATTTCATCTGAATCGGATAGTAAATGCGACCTGCATTTTGTTCACAACAATACATGGACTGACGGACGGCCAGACAGACGGACTGACATACATAAATCAACTCAAAAAGTGATTCTATGGAGATTCTCAAAAGTAACTATGGGTCTATTTCGCTTCCTTCTCCATGTTACAAACAAATGCACTAAGACATAATACCCTTACAACTCTGTGGTGTAAGGTGTAAAAACAAATACGTCTGCTTTTTTTTTAATTCTGAACCTACTAAGCCAAACGAAAAATCGGAAGATTATAGCAAATTGTTCAAAATTATTCTTTAATTTATTTCATTACCAAAACTACAAAAAACTCTCTTTGCATAATTATTATTTTTTATTTATTTACGAAAATAACACCAAATTTGGAATACTAATTATAAACATTTATATTTCTTTCTCTTTTTTTTCCAGTTAGTGGAGGCGATAACATTTCTGCATTATTCGGGGCATGTCATACATCGAAACATATGTCCGGCGTCAATATTTATTACAAAAAGGGGTACCTGGAAATTAGGTGGCCTAGAATTTTTAGGTAATTTGCTAAACATTTTTCAATACTATAAAACATTTAATATAGAAACCGTTTAAATAATAATCGCAATCCATGAAATTTGAATGCGTTTCTGCCAAACAAATTATTATTATTATTATTATTATTATTATTATTATTATTATTATTATTATTATTATTATTATTATTATTATTATTATTATTATTATTATTATTATTATTATTATTATTATTATTATTATTATTATTATTATTATTATTATTATTATTATTATTATTATTATTATTATTATTATTATTATTATTATTATTATTATTATTATTATTATTATTTCAATTTTTTAAGTAATCTACCCTTAATTATGTTTTTCATTTTATTATTCGACCTTTTTGTTTCTAATATTGAATAAGTTTTAGACCTCGAGCTTGAAAAACTTATCCATTATTCTAACTTTAATATAAAATTATTATTTTTAAGCGGGATTCATTTCCTCGATATGTAATTCATCAAAAACTACCAAATAACAATATTAAATTTTTCAAAATTTTCCCTCATTTTACAGAAAGAATGAATGAGACTGATATCAATGACTTTATAACATGTCAACCATGGACAACTCGCATATCAAAAATGGCACAGCCAAATTTGGATTTTATGCGTAAGTATACGACTGCTGCAAATACCCGTGACTTAAGTCACTACAACTACAAGTGTAAAACATTGTCACCCCATGGAAATTTTCCATAATACTTTAAATCAACAAAATGTCGTAATGTCAGTCTTGTAAAAGTTATAAATTGTTTATTTTTCTCTTTTTTCTTTTCTTTTGTCTGGTTTTCTTTTTCTTCTGCGTCTTCGTCTTCTTTTTCTTTTTTCTTCCAACAGCACCTGAAACACAATTACATTCGAAATGTAGTCTTCTCAGTGACATGTTTTCTTTAGGTTTAGTAATCTGTGCTGTCTTCAATAGAGGGCGACCCATCATACAATCGGGTAATGTACCCGCCAACTATATCAAGCAATTGGAAGCGGTAAGTGGGAGTGATTCGGCGAATGCAGACAGACTGTCACTGCATCGTGGGCATTTACTTTTAGTCACTTTATTAAGTTTTTTACTTTGGCATTCATTTAAATGAAGCAGACAGTTTTTTTTTTAAGGAATACCGAAACAGTGGTGAAAGATTGAGAAAAATATTAATTTTAAATCTATTTTCAATCAAAGATTAAAGAAATTGATTGACTGGCTGGCTGACTTAACAATTCATCGACGTCAGATAAAGCTGGGTTTTTGGAAATAAGTACTAGAATGGTACGAAAAGTATTAAAAGTTACTAAATAAGGTACCTTTTGCATTTTAGGAAACAGTTTAATTAGAACTCCTAAAATGGAAATGAGGCTCATTGATTGAGTGTATAAAAGATGTAATGAATGGTTTTTGGTAATTCGCACTATAATTGTACCAAAAGTACTGAAATGTACCACATTTGGTACCATTTCGTATCATGTGGAAGACTTGAAATTGGAAATGGGAATCAAGGTTAAGAAGTAGAGTCTATGTAAAAACGTAGTTTTGAAAGCGTGTAGTCATGTATACAAACAGTACTAAACGGTACTAAATTTAGTACAATTTTAGTTTGAAGGAGGTAGAACCCTAAAATTTGAAATAAACATTACTGGCAGAGTGTAGGATTGGGATATGGATATGTACGAAAAGTACTAAATGGTACTAACTAACTAACTAAATTTAGGTGAACCGATAGAGCTGGAATTTCCGAAATTTAGATAACATTGTAGGATATTGCATTGTAGGACTCAGATATGTAGGTAGTTTTGGAAATTCGTACTTATGTGTACTAAATTTTACCAAATTTGGTACAAATTAGAACTGTGATGAACCGATGGAGCTGAAATTCTAAAATTTTGAATAAGAGTCACTGATGGAGTGCAGAATGGGTGCACTAAGGGTTATTAAAAATTCCAACCTAAAACAATGAAAATGTGTCTCATCGAAATAACGGTTTTAGATCCATGGTCTTTTTGGACCAAATCCGTTCCAAGACTTTTGGAGTCGATCTAGCGATGTCCAACCGTCATCGTGCGCGCGATAACTCTCAAAGAGAGTATAAGATTTGGTCCAAATTTGGTACATCGTAATTTTTTTGTCAATCTTAGATCGAGTTCAGAGATGGGCAATATCAGCCCATTCCTTCTGGTACCACCAAAAAAACATATTTTACTGCACAGAAAGAGAAAGGATAATCCGACCTTGCGCGTACTTAGCAAATCCTAATATTTGCATGAGTGCTAGGTCAGGTGAGAAAAAGGACAATATCGGTCCACTCCATCAAGTACCTCCCCCACAAAGGGTCAAAATTCTGAATAAATCTTATAAAATGTGATGTAATAGTCCTATCTGGTGCGAAGATGGAATATAACGGTCCCCTTGTTCTGGTGCCTCCCCCACAAAAAGTCAACATTTTGAATATTCATAAAACTAATAAAGAACGAAATTAAGATCAGATTCCATTCAGACTTGCACATCTCAATACTTCCATCAACACAATACCCTATATAAAGATCGTAGAGATCGGATCATTCCTTCTGGTACCTCTCCCACAAAGGGTCAAAGTTTCATATAACAAAATTAATTATAAAATCCAAAAGAAGCATCCGGCTCTCTTCATATTTCACACATCCCATTATTTCTATTAACACAAGATCCAAAATTTTTAATATCCATGAAGCTCATAAAACGCAAAATCCGATTCTATTCAGACTTAGTTCATCTGAATATTTCCATCAACTCAAGATATGTTATAAAGATGATAGAGATCGGACCATTTCTGGTACCTCCTCCACATAGGGTTCAAGATTTTGAAAAACAAAACGCTCAAAGAAAGCGAACGAAATAAGCTCTCTGAAGCTCTCATCAAATTTCACACACACAAACATTTTTGCTAAAATTTGTTGTGAAGGTGATATATGTCTGCGAACCCCGTTTTGGTTCCTCACCCACAAAGGGTCACTTTTATCTGTCATAACTTGCGAAACAAGCGATTCTTTACAACTTGTTATATCCAAGTATTTTTCTCAACCAGAAACCTGAGATGAGTATCGAATTTATGATTTCGCATAAAATTGGATATAAATGTTCGATTTTCTTGTAATTTTGCCCATACCAATATTTTTATCTGTATTAACTGAAGTATGAAAATGGAATACCTCGGTCCACTATATCTTGTACATCAACTACATTTCAACATTTTCTAAAAATTAGCACATATCTCATATAAAGTGAAGGAAGTATTCCAAAACCGACACGTCGCAATAATTATATCATATATATTTTGATCCGATACGAAATGGAAAATATTTGCCCATTCCTTCGGAACCTACTCCATACAGGGTCCACAACTTGAATAATCATAACAGAAGTCTAAATATATTTAAATTATCGAACATTGGCTCAGGTTAAATATATATCTGTCGGCAAAACCGAATGATAATTTTTAACTTGTTAAATAGTAAAAGACTAAAGATATTTATATTAATTTTGTATTTACTCTAGAATTATTTCGAAACTAAAAGTTAAAATGTTATCTCTGACCTGTCAAAACATCTATCATAAAAACATCCCACGTGGGCAATTAATTTTCATTTAAAACGACGTTTCGACATTTCAACAACTGTCAGTTCAAACAATTATTTAAGAATTTTAAACACTGTCGACATAATGACGACACGCAACCATTGCCACGAGCAACAAGTAGCGCGCGTATTAAAATCCCAATTGCAAGATATTTTCACCGTGCCATAGCTACACACATTTCCATCATTACCTCAGCTACTGCCACTACCGACAACAACACCGCCACCACCACCACCACTACAACTACATTAACGGTGTTGAAAACTTTACTTCAAAGCTGGATTATTGTGTGCCATTGCTTTGCATTCGGCGACTCGACTCGACCCCGTAACATTGTAAACCACCACTCAAGCTCTTCCTCTTCCCCCTCCTGCTGCTGCTCCAGCGCATCCAGGACAAAACTTAATGCCTCCACTTGACATTGCAAGAACTTTGCAAAAGTTCTTAAAATCTTTGGGTTGTTTGCATACTTGAAACACCTTACGACAACTTTTCTTATTTTTAGCATTTCCTTTGCTTTTCCTCTGGCTTTTGCTTTTGTATGCAAAGGTGTAGTTGTAGAATATTTATACGTCTTCTTCGTATCCTTTTCCTGCTGGCCACGACCAGAGTCAGTCAGCCTCTTGGGACCCAAAACTAACCACCGACAAGCAAAGAAACCAGTCAATCTAGTGTTACTTACGCTCTCTCTCTCGCCCGTTCGTCTGTTTGTCTGTCTGTCTGCTTGTCTACCTGTCCATCAGCTATTCAATTATAAAATGGAATTAGCATACCTTTCGTTTGAAACCCAAAGAGTAAAAGTGTGTTGCCTCTTTTCTTTTCGTCTTAATAAAGACATATTTCTTTTCGAAACAAAAATACTTTAAAACTTAATCAAAAGTTAAATTTGAAATATTACAACTCGACTCGACTCGAATCGAAGCAAATGTAAATACTTTTGTCGAGGGTTATTATTAGTCAAAAAGATGTTATGCTTTTGGTGAGATGAGTGGGCAAAGTTTCTAAAATTGGAAAGTAATGATGACATTAGATGTGGGAGTTTGAAATTGGGAACTAAACAAAAAATAAGAAAATAAATAAATAAAGAGCAACAAATTAAAGGGTATCAGTCAGGTTTCCGACAAATGTATACCCTTATCTTCCATCTGCACACCAGACCTTGTGTTAGTAGAAATAATGGGATGTGTGAACTATGAAGAGAACCGGATGTTTATGCTCGGCCACATGACTAGAGAAGGTTTACATCATTTGATACGGTCAAAACGTGCCTAGTCGAAATAACGGTCTTAGACCCTAGATCTCTTTGGACCAAATCCGTTTCAGGACATTTGGGGTCGATCTAACGATGTCCGTCCGTCCGCCCGTCTGTCTGGCTGGTGCCCACGAAGGGAGTATCCGATTTGGTCCAAACTTGGTAAATCGTAATATTACTATAATACTTAGATCGAGTTCGGAGATGGGCAATATCGACCCACTTCTTCTGGTACCTACCCCATAAAGGGTCGAAATTTTCACAAAAAAAAAAAAAAAACAAAAACAATATCAGTCGGTTTTACTGACAGATGTATACCCTCAGATTCGATTATTTAAATATATTTTGACTTCTATTATGATTATTCAAATTGCTGACCTTCTATGGAGTAGGTTCCGAAGGAACAGGCCAATATTGTCCATTTCGTACCGGAACTAAATAAATATGATATAAATATTGCGACGTGTCAGATTTTGACTTTATAGAAAATATAGAAATTAAGGGAATATGTGCAATGTCAAGAGAATGGGATGCTTATTGCGGATTTCTAAATCGTTTTGGTTATTCAAAACTTTGACCCTTTGTAGGTGAGGTACCAGAAGGAATGGTCCGAGCTCTACCATCTTTATAGCAGATCTTGTGAAATTAGATGTTAATTCGCGATTTATGAGCTTCATGGATATTCAAAATGTTGACCCTTTGTGGGGTGAGGTACCAGAAGGAGTGCACCGATATATTCCACGTTCACAGCGGATCTTGTGTTAGTAGAAATAATAATATGTGTATGAATAGAACCGAATTCTTATTTCTGATTTTATGATAGTTTTGCTTATTCAAATTTTAACCCATCTTTATTACAGATCTTATGTTGATGGAAATATTGCGATGTGCCAAGTCTGAATGGAATCGGATGTTAATTTCGTGTTTTATGAGCTTTATGAATATTCAAAATTTTGACCCTTTGTGGGGAAGGTACTTAATGGAGTAGACCGATATTTGCAAAGTTGGAGCAAAATCGTTCCTCTTTCTGTGCAGAAAATATTTTTTTTGTTTTTTTGAAAATTTCGACCCTTTGTGGGTGAGCTACCAGAAGGAGTGATCCGATATCTTCCAATTTAACACTAGACCTT